TTGCAGGCTCATTAGCATCCCTCAAGGTACCCACACATCAACTTTGGGGCATGTAGCTCATGGAGAATGCCCTCACTTAGTCCTTCCAAGTTTTATCCCACATTCCAACCCCCAACCATTCCTATTGGGGAATATCTTTGGAACCTGAGTGGATACATAGATTAACATATGGAAGGGACAAATGGGGTGATTACCAGAGTTGGGGTGGGGTCAGAGCCTTGAAAATTTGACTAAGAGTACCTAGAAACAAGCCCTACCACATATGTCAGATACAGCAATATAGACAAATGTTGAATTTTTTGGGTTACAAAGTTCAAAGTTCATATTCAGCCATCTTGTTTTCACATGTGTCAACATGGTAAGTTGCTCTTCAAAAAATTCTATTTTTGGAGTGTTTTTAGCCTCACTGGAAAGCTTTCAGTTATTTCTACTGTTTTATAAGGAGTTTGAACAGAAGTTTCCAAGGTTGCTGATAAGGTTTATCCAAAAACAAACATTTAAAAACGTGTCTTCTCTTTTAGCATTAGCTAGCTAATGTTATTCTAATGTGAAAGATATAAATTTGGGTGCTGATGACGTTAGCTTCCATATTTCTGTCTAAAATTAAGTTGGAAATTGGAATTGATGCCTGCAGATTAGCTGTACTAAACAGTCTTCAATGATTTTCTTTCTGGGTATCAGACCTACTGCGATAACGACCCAGAAAGACTGATGTCACTGCCGCCTGGACTTGAGGAAATTGACACTTCCATCAAGCCCCCAGAGGCCAAAAGGTCTGCCATGGCTGAGTCTAGTGATAAGGATCACGATAGCAGTGCCGATACCATCATCCTGGATCCATCCACCCTCGATGAGGTCGATTTGGTGGCTCCACACGGGACTCCGGCCTCTTCCCCATCTGTTACTGAGGATGAGGGCAAGGATGAGGATGGTCTTGTGGGTGCAACCGGAAGTCCAAAATTGATCCTGCCTATTAAAGAGGATAAGGAGGAGGATCGTTCTGCGGGTGCAACGGGAAGTCCAAAATCGATCCTGCCTATTAAAGAGGATAAGGAGGAGGATCGTTCTGCGGGTGCAACGGGAAGTCCAAAATCGATCCTGCCTATTAAAGAGGATGAGGAGGAGGATCGTTCTGTGGGTGCAACGGGAAGTCAAAAATCGATCCTGCCTATTAAAGAGTATGAGAAGGAGAATCATTATGTGGATTCACCGAGGAGTCCTGACTCTTCTGCCTGATGATGAGGATCACTTAATGGATGCATACTCTTTGCTACTCCACTCATCCATATGATGTTCATTTTTTTTGCAAGATTTGATATGTTGTTTCAAACTGTTATCAGGAAGACAAAAAATGTCTTGTATTATGTTTTGTATTTGTTATAATACATTTTCATTGACAGAATGCACAATGTTTCAGTTTTTGAGTCTTTGAAGTGCAATAAAAAGACACAAATTCCAAATTTTAATTTTAATCTAGAACGTATTGATAATATTGATGTGCATAACCCATCTTTTGATTCTTTATCTTATAGTTATAACGTTTGTTATTTCATTGTGTTTATATTATGTTGTACTATTTTTTGAATGGTTGGTTGGGGAAGATTTGAAATCTGCATAGCTAAAAAATGTTGATGACAGACAATGCTTTGAACAACCTGTTCTATATTTGAATTTGCTTCATGTGTAGAGTTCTGAACACTGTAATATATATAACTGAAAAAATGTTAATAAAATACAAGTTCTTGAACAAGTTATTGAATTTGGTAGTACTTTGAAGGTTTATATTTCGAACTTTTGCTGCCCTCTGGCTCCACACAGGGGGGGACAACCGCTTTGATTCCAACATGGGGTGACACGGCTCGATGAGACCTTTCTGTCGTTGCCTGGATTGTAGCTCTACCTTATGAAAATCCACATTCCAGATTCTCACCTATAGCTTCCATATTTCAATCTACGAATGGCTTCCATATTTCAATCTATATCAGTCTCATAGATTGAAATATGGAAGCCATAGATTGAAATATGGAAGTGGAGTTCTGTGAGCATAATTTCAATCAGAATCAGAATTCAGAATTTTGTTTATTGCCAAGTAGGTTTTTACGCCTACGAGGAATGTGACCTGGTGCAGTTGGTGGATAAAATGTACACATATACAAATACAAATACAAATACAAATATACAATTGTCATTCCAAAGTAAAACGCCATTCATTCCTATGGGGGCAAAATTGGAACTTCTTTGTAGAGACTTGGGAGGACTTGGAGGCTCATTAGCATCCCTCAAGGTATCCACACATCACATTTGGGGACTGTAGCTCATTGGGAACACCCACCAATGGTCATTCCAATCTTCATTCCAAAGTAAAAATGCCATTCATTCCTATGGGGGCAAAATATGAACCTCTTCATAGAGACTTGGGAGGACTTGCAGGCTCATAAGCATCCCTCAAGGTACCCACACATCGAATTTGGGGACTGTTATTTAATTTGGTAGTACTTTGAATGTTTATATGTCAAACTTTTGCTGCCCCCTGGCTCTGCACAGGAAGGGACAACAGCCATGATTCCAACACGGGGTGACTCAGCTCGATGAGACCTTTCCGTCGTTGCCTGGATTGTGGCTCTACCTCATGAAAATCCACATTCCAGATTCTCACCTATAGCTTCCATATTTCAATCTACAAATGGCTTCCATATTTCAATCTATATCAGTCTTATAGATTGAAATATGGAAGCCATAGATTGAAATATGGAAGTGGAATTCTGTGAGCATAATTTCAATCAGAATCAGAATTCAGAATTTTATTTATTGCCAAGTAGGTTTTTACGCCTACGAGGACTGTGACCTGGTGCAGTTGGTGGATAAAATATACACATATACAAATACAAATACAAATATACAATTGTCATTCCAAAGTAAAACGCCATTCATTCCTATGGGGGCAAATTTGGAACTTCTTTGTAGAGACTTGGGAGGACTTGGAGGCTCATTAGCATCCCTCAAGGTACCCACACATCAAATTTGGGGACTGTTATTTAATTTGGTAGTACTTTGAATGTTTATATGTCAAACTTTTGCTGCCCCCTGGCTCTGCACAGGAAGGGACAACAGCCATGATTCCAACACGGGGTGACTCAGCTCGATCAGACCTTTCCGGCGTTGCCTGGATTGTGGCTCTACCTTATGAAAATCCACATTCCATATTCTCATCTATAGCTTCCATATTTCAATCTACGAATGGCTTCCATATTTCAATCTATGTCAGTCTCATAGATTGAAATATGGAAGCCATAGATGAGAATATGGAAATGGAGTTCTGTGAGCATAATTTCAATAAGAATCAGAATTCAGAATTTTGTTTATTGCCAAGTAGGTTTTTACGCCTATGAGGAATGTGACCTGGTGCAGTTGGTGGATAAAATATACACATATACAAATACAAATACAAATACAAATATACAATTGTCATTCCAAAGTCAAAACGCCATTCATTCCTATGGGGGAAAAATTGGAACTTCTTCGTAGAGACTTGGGAGGAGTTGGAGGCTAATTAGCATCCATCAAGGTACCCACACATCAAATTTGGGGACTGTAGCTCATTGGGAACACCCACCAATGGACATTCTTATTTTGATTCCACACTCCAAAGGCCATTCATTCCTATGGGGGCATAACATGAACTTCTTCGTAGAGACTTGGGAGAACTTGGAGGCTCAGTGGCATCCCTCAAGGTACCCACACATCAAATTTGGGGACTGTTATTTAATTTGGTAGTACTTTGAATGTTTATATGTCAAACTTTTGCTGCCCCCTGGCTCTGCACAGGAAGGGACAACAGCCATGATTCCAACACGGGGTGACTCAGCTCGATGAGACCTTTCCGGCGTTGCCTGGATTGTGGCTCTACCTTATGAAAATCCACATTCCATATTCTCATCTATAGCTTCCATATTTCAATCTACGAATGGCTTCCATATTTCAATCTATGTCAGTCTCATAGATTGAAATATGGAAGCCATAGATTGAAATATGGAAGTAGAGTTCTGTGAGCATAATTTCAATCAGAATCAGAATTCAGAATTTTGTTTATTGCCAAGTAGGTTTTTACGCCTACGAGGAATGTGACCTGGTGCAGTTGGTGGATAAAATATACACATATACAAATACAAATATACAATTGTCATTCCAAAGTCAAAACGCCATTCATTCCTATGGGGGCAAAATTGGAACTTCTTCGTAGAGACTTGGGAGGAGTTGGAGGCTCATTAGCATCCCTCAAGGTACCCACATATCAAATTTGGGGACTGTTATTTAATTTGGTAGTACTTTGAATGTTTATATGTCAAACTTTTGCTGCCCCCTGGCTCCGCACAGGAAGGGACAACAGCCATGATTCCAACAAGGGGTGATTCAGCTCGATGAGACCTTTCCGTCGGTGGCTGGATTGTGGCTCTACCTTATGAAAATCCACATTCCCGATTCTCATCTATGGCTTCCATATTTCAATCTATGACAACAACATCATATTTCGTCATAGATTGAAATATGGAAATCATACAAATTCCATGTGACGTGACGTTCTCGTATGTGATAGAGCTTTCCAACCATGTCTGTTTCTCACCCCTGATTGCTTCCATTGAGGAGATAGAGCACTTTAGCAAGCAGAAACATGTAACTAAAAGACCCCTTTTGGGTTTACATTGCGACCTTTCAACATTTAGCCTGTAACTCCGGGACATTAAGGGTTACAGACATGGGGAAAACTATCCCGAAAACTCTCAGAGAGCTATTTTGCATATATCAGAATCAAATCCGTCGGTCATTGCTTTGCCTTCGGGGCTTATGTTAGCTAGCTAACAAAACATAAAACATAATTTCCAAGTTTAAATCTAATCCATAATGTACACCCTTCCATGTTTCAATCTATTATATAATACATGCATGCAGATGAAAACTTGAACTTCCTGTGTCAACAGGAAGTAGGAAGTGGATAGACATATCAAGCAGTGTTGACTGCATGGTGAGTGAAATTCATGAGCTCTCTAACTTCTTGTTTTTAATATACTTTACCTACTAAAATGTGTGTCACAGCCTTATCTCAGTGTGTAGTAGCCATATTGCAAGTCTACACAGTACATTTGAGCTTTTAAAATATTGTTTTTTATAACTTTTTATGCAGCACCTAACGATTTTATGAATAGATTATAATTTGGATCTATTGGTTTTAGTTCCAAATTTCAATATATATTATATGTCTATCTTGTCAACTATTACTATGATTATGAGTTAGCAGCTCTTTGAAATTTGACGTCAGATATGATGTTAGACTTAGCTTAATGATGTTTTAATCCTCTCAACCTGTCATACTGTAAGCCATTGGAAAGGAGGACCTTGGATGCATGTCAGCAACCATGGCTGAGGAGAACCCCATGCCCATGCCAGAACCCCAGTCCGAGGAGAACCGTGGGTGCGTGTCGGCATTCCAGCCCGAGGAGAACCCCGTGCCCATGCCGGAACCCCAGTCCGAGGAGAACCGTGGGTGCGTGTCGGCATTCCAGCCCGAGGAGAACCCCGTGCCCATGCCGGAACCCCAGTCCGAGGAGAACCTTGGGTGCGTGTCGGGATTCCAGTCCGAGGAGAACCCCGTACCCATGCCGGAACCCCAGTCCGAGGAGAACCTTGGGTGCGTGTCGGCATTCAAGTCCGAGGAGAACCCCGTGCCCATGCCGGAACCCCAGTCCGAGGAGAACCTTGGGTGCGTGTCGGCATTCCAGTCCGAGGAGAACCCCGTGCCCATGCCGGAACCCCAGTCCGAGGAGAACCTTGGGTGCGTGTCGACATTCAAGTCCGAGGAGAACCCTGGGCATATGTTGGCACCCCAGTCTGAGGAGAACCCCAGCTGCATGTCGGGTCTCAAGTGCCTGCGGGCATGGCCCCGGTATGTTGTGATGCGCACAACCCATCTTCTGATACTTTATGTTATAGTTGTAACATTTGTTATTTTATTGTGTTGGTATTATGTTGTACTTTTTTTGAAGGGTTGGTTGGGGAAGATTTGAAATCTGCATAGCTAAAAAATGTTGATGACAGACAATGTTTTGAACAACCTGTTCTATATTTGATTTTGCTTCATGTGTAGAGTTCTGAACTCTGTAACATATATGTAACTGAAAAAATTTTAATAAAAGACAATTTCTTGAACAAGTTATTGAATTTGGTAGTACTTTGAAGGTTTATATTTTGAACTTTTGCTGCCCTCTGGCTCCGCACAGGAAGGGACAACAGCTATGATTCTAACATGGGGTGACTCAGCTCGATGAGCCCTTTCCGTCGTTGTCTGGATTGTGGCTCTACCTTATGAAAATCCACATTCCCGATTCTCATCTAAAGCTTCCATATTTCAATCTATGGCTTCCATATTTCAATCTATGAGACTGACATAGATTGAACTATGGAAGCCATTTGTAGATTGAAATATGGAAGTGGAGTTCTGTGAGCATAATTTCAATCTATGAATGGCTTCAATAGTTCAATCTATGTAAGTCTCATAGATTGAAATATGGAAGCCATAGATGAGAATCAGGAGTATGGATATTTCTATCAATGACTTCCTTATTTACATCTGTTTCTCATAGATGGAATTATGGAAGCCATAATTGAGAGTCGTGAATGTAGATTCTCATATATGGGCTTCCATATTTCAATCTAGTTCTAGATAGGAATTTTCAAGATGAAAAAAAAATGACAGCATACTCCAACTTTTTAAGAACATTTATTTTTTGGCTGACACACTTCTTCAACTTACAGCTGTATTGATTTAAAATAAAAAAATATATCTATAAAAGTGTAAATATATATCACGTAATATATGTACAATATATGTACAAAATATAAATACTTAAACAAGGTGACATTGCTTTATGCCTTTCATAAAAAATAAACAAAATTTTACCCACAGCTGGTTACCTGAAAAGGTTTGAAAAAACATAATTGACAGAAAAGCTCTTATGGACATCTTGAACTTTTTTTTTTTTTACTTGATCATAAAACTTCCTCAAAACTTGACTACCTGTTAATCGACAAAGAACTTGATTACGGGTTTCAGGCACCTCTTCAATTGGGGTTTCCTGAATCTTCAACTGCACAGGAATGGATGACTTGGGTTTCAGGCATGTCTTCAACTGGGGTCTCTGGAATCTCCTCCCCTTTCCCTCCCTCTTTAAACAGGGCTTCCAGAATCTCCCCCCATCCTATTCCCTCCTCAACAGGAGTTTCCAGAATCTCCTCCCCTCCTCCTCCGGGTGGAAGAGGAGTCTCTTCAACCGGGGTTTCCAGAATCTCCCCCATTCCTACTCCCTCCTCAACTGGAGTTTCCAGAACCTCCTCCACTCCTCTTCCACCCGCAAGAGGAGTATCTTCAACCAGGGTTTCCAGAGTCCCCCCCTTCTTACTCCCTCCTCAACTGGAGTTTCCAGAACCTCCTCCCCTCCTCTTCCACCCGCAAGAGGAGTATCTTCAACCAGGGTTTCCAGAGTCCCCCCCCTTCTTACTCCCTCCTCAACTGGAGTTTCCAGAACCTCCTCCCCTCCTCTTCCACCCGCAAGAGGAGTATCTTCAACCAGGGTTTCCAGAGTCCCCCCCCTTCTTACTCCCTCCTCAACTGGAGTTTCCAGAACCTCCTCCCCTCCTCTTGCACCCGGAAGAGGAGTGTCTTCAACCAGGGTTTCCAGAGTCACCCACCTTCCTACTCCCTCCTCAACAGGAATTTCCAGACTCTTCTCCCCTCCTCCTCCGGGTGGAAAAGGAGTCTCTTCAACCGGGGTTTCCATAATCTCCCCCCTTCCTACTCCCTCCTCAACTGGAGTTTCCAGACTCTCCTCCCCTCCTCCTCCGGGTGGGAGAGGAGTATCTTCAACCAGGGTTTCCAGAGTCCCCCACCTTCCTACTCCCTCCTCAACAGGAGTTTCCAGAATCTCCTCCCCTCCTCCTCCGGGTGGGAGAGGAGTATCTTCAACCAGGGTTTCCAGAGTCCCCCACCTTCCTACTCCCTCCTCAACAGGAGTTTCCAGAATCTCCTCCCCTCCTCCTCCGGGTGGGAGAGGAGTATCTTCAACCAGGGTTTCCAGAGTCCCCCACCTTCCTACTCCCTCCTCAACAGGAGTTTCCAGAATCTCCTCCCCTCCTCCTCCGGGTGGGAGAGGAGTATCTTCAACCAGGGTTTCCAGAGTCCCCCACCTTCCTACTCCCTCCTCAACAGGAGTTTCCAGAATCTCCTCCCCTCCTCCTCCGGGTGGGAGAGGAGTATCTTCAACCAGGGTTTCCAGAGTCCCCCACCTTCCTACTCCCTCCTCAACAGGAGTTTCCAGAATCTCCTCCCCTCCTCCTCCGGGTGGAAGAGGAGTCTCTTCAACCGGGGTTTCCAGAATCTCGCCCCTTCCTACTCCCTCTTCAACTGGGGTTTCCAGAATCTCCACCCTTCCTTTCTTCAACATTCTGAATTTTTGCTTTGCTTTTATTAAATAGTAGTTTACAATAGATTTCTTCAGCCGTTCCACTGACACAAAACACTTGGAAGGTGAAACTGCAACAAGACGTGACATCCTTCTTTTGGGTGAAGGCGTCTTGGACCGAGTTGAGAAGTGCAACTTCTTCTTGGACTTGACTTGACTTGAAGGATCTGGAAAAGATGGGGGCTCAGCCTCTGGGGGCTCATCCTTTGATGATTCATCACTGGGTTCGGAAAACCCATGAAGCCTCTTGTTTCTTCTTTTCATCAATGTCAACTTCTCGCCAGAGGACAATGAGTCGGACTCAGGTGCGTCATCATAGATGACTTCCTCATCATCTGAGCTTGTCTCTGGTGTATACTCAGCTTTGTCATCTGGTAAGGATGAGGAGTCATCGGTGTCATCCCTATCTTGCAAGGATTTAACAAAAGCCTCCTTGAGGGCTTTCATCCTCAGTTTTCTGGTTTGATATGCCATGCTTTTGTCTGGCAGAGCTACGTAGAATTTTTCTGCTGTAGTGGGGTCATGGCACATCGCATGAGCCACATCCTTCCTCTCCTTCTCAGTGAGGTGATTCTTGGCCTGTGAACCCAAATGAAGAAATATGTGTAACATAATCTGAAAGTCTTCCAAATTCCCACCTACGACATCCAGATTCAGATCCAATAGATGGAAATCTGTAAATTATAGATGAGAATTGTGAAATACTTGGCTACATTTCAGGCCCAAGTGCCTAAGTATCACATTGCTGAGTACTTACCTGCGTAGCGACACTGCTCCGGATCTGGCCAAAGTCGACTGGCCCTGTCAATCCAGCGTCCAGCCAAGCCATATGGAGGAAGAATGACGGCTTCATGATATGCCTGCCTAATATTGTGTGGAAAACATATTCGTTGTCCTCACCACAAAGGCAGCAGTCACCGAAGGCAACTTTTTTCACCCACCCAAACTCTGTCTTGTTCAGGCACACCGCAGCTTGCCCGAATGAGCTCATAGTTTTGTGTTCATCTACCTAAGGAAAAAATTGCAGAAAATGAGCTTGTTTCTGTAGATGGGTAGACTTCAACTGAAATGATAAAAAAATACTAATAAAGCTTTTGCTACCTCTTCCAAAAAATAGTTTAAATACTTACCAGAACCCTATACTTTTTGCCACCACCCCAGCAGTCCGCTGACATCACCTGATCACGGGTCATGTTGGTAAGGACGATGGTGCGATGTCCCGAAAGGATGCACAGGTAGCCCATGAGGTAGCCCATGAGCTGACAATGTTTCTTACCAAAACTTCCATCAGCAGGTAAGAATTCTACAATAAAGGAGTAAATGAAGTTTAGTCAAGTTAGGTTTATGTCAATTTTCCTCTCTTCGTCTCTCAATCTCCTGTCATGCATAAATATGTTCTGAATTGTACTTACGAAGCAATTCAGGAATTTTCTTTTTGGCGACCTTCATAAATGTCACTTCCTTTTTCGCATCAAGCAGTTGATCTGTGAAAAAAGTGTCACATACACCACCCATTTTTGAGGTTCCAAATCCCAATTTTTTAGATGACAGCATATAAACACAACAATAATACAATAAAGAAAGAAAACATTACCTGTCTTCTTTTTCACCACCTTCTGCCGGTGGACAACAACGTGCTTGTGCACATTCGCCTGAAGCATCTTAAGTTCATAGAGGATTTTGTCGAACTCAGTAGATTTGACTTTGCTGACCAACTGGAATGAGCACTTCACATGCCTGATGAACATGTTGATATTTGTCATCATGTTTCTCACAGTGGTTGGGACGTAACCCTTTTGGGCGAGGTATAGTGGATACCTACAAAAAAAGGTAGGCAAGCACATGTGATAAAACCTCACCTCTAGTTCCCACCACCTGATTCCAAATCCAAATTCCAATTTTTCATCTACTTCAAAACATCACATTATAATTTGAAATTCATAATAAATGTATATATGCACATATTATCTCTAATTATTCTAACCAAAAAACACACTTACGTGCGCAATTTGTCTATCTGGAGAAGGAACTTCAAATCCATGGAGACCATTTTTTCAGGTAGCCCAGTAGCCATATAGAGGCAAAAACGGAGCGCATGGCTCGCTGCCTGCCTCGCATTATCCTTGTCTTTTGTTGCTGTCCGTGAACCCAGTCGAAACTTCCTGTAGTCATCGATGAGCCTCTCTGTCATGAAACATACAGAAGATGTTTGTGGAATAGTTACCAAATAAAAAAAACATCTATTATATTACACAGAAATGTGGAAGCCATAGATTAGAATCTGAAATCTATGGCTTCCACGTTGCTATGTAAATATGGAAATTGTACATGAGAAAAGGGAAACAGGAAATGAAAACTCACGAAATAAATGTTCCGACTTCTCCAACTTTCTCACATGTTCATGTTTTTGGGCTGAGCCAGTTAGTTTTGACGGTATGCCTCTGGGTGTCTTGGGTGTCGAAGTTTGGGCTCTCATAAGTCTGTTTACCATGTGTTCGAGCTGCTGCAATCTGGCTGAAACGTTTTCACAGTTGCAGTTGCAGTTGCCTTGATTCGGAAGTGGACTCTCGCTTCCTCGATTCTGCATAACAG